GTGTGTACTATCACTTCCCAAAATTTTCTCCATCTTTTCAGAATCACCCTGTATATGTCCCGGGTTCAATATATAGTGGATTTAAACCGTATTGAGTTTGTCTTTTAACAATGATGAAACACAAACAAATCCAATATTGCGTAAAGATTATTTAGGATGTAATTTGTGTAAGAAATGCACCTATCTTAATCTCTTCAAAAAGTTACTAGTTCTTTTTCTCCAAAAAGTCAATCACGTGAAAGTTTTTTGTTTTAATGTGTCTAACGATAAAATAGCAGTAATAAAATGAATTTTTGAATTCGGATATAAGTGAATTAAGAAAACAGTTACTCATATTTTAAAAACTTTCCTAATCCATCGTTGTGCTATTGAATATTTGATAGATAAATTTGAAAATTTAGTTTACTCATCATTTAATTTCTGATTGTCATGCTGATGTATGAATAACATATTTCCTAACATTTAAAAACCAAATTATTATCCCGTTTAATCCTTTTTCAGTAAATGAGGAACATTAATATTATCTGTAATCTTTTTTACCGTAACCTTGAATTGAGTGAGGAATAAAATCTATTATTTGGAGATTCTCTCTACATCTGCCTAGAATTCGAAAACTGTTATAGGGTTGCTAATGTTTTGGATTCGTTAAAAATTCGCTATTATTTCTCACGCTTTTTTCTTCCTCCAACATATTTGAATGCTTAAAGGCTAAGAAAAAAAGCCTTGGCATTAAATTTAATCAATTAATAGCCAATACATGGATTCCTTAGCTTTCCTTGGCGAAAACTGTGCTAACGCGCAAGGGATTCACATTTTTGATTACTTGATGTACGTAGCAGGTGTCCTGTTAGGCCCTGCAGCCACACCTTTTGGAACATTTTCCAAATTCATTAATTTATATGTATGCAAAAATGAATCAGTTTTTATTTTGGATTCAATATTTCTAAAATAAAATATTTTTATTATTTAACGAATTTTAATTCTTTATTGCAGCAGTTTGTATTGATTAATATCTGCATCACTCTTGCCTACATCGCACTGTTATAATATATGGGCGGATGAAAATACACTAATCACCGTTCAACTTCTTGAACTAATAGTACAGTCCCATGCCAAATTATTAGACGCACTGTAAGATTCTATGTAAAATCCTAATTATCGGGTGATACTATACAGCTTTATTGCTTTTACACGACTGAAACCGGTTTGCACTTGTTTACGTTCATGTATCAGTGGGTTAACATTGTAATGCAATACGTTGAAAATAAATACAAATAGGAAGTATATAACAAATCTCCTGAATAAAAACTCATTACATGTATGTTTAAATAGAAAAGTATTGCCTATAAACTCGTGCAAATCATGTCATTATAAAAAAACTACAACGGGTTTGATAATTTGGTTGAATTATTATAACATACTAATATTATACATGATATAATAAATATTCCTTATTTATATAATATATCGCTTAATTTATCTAATCGTCGAACTTATATTATATATCGTCTAATTTATCCAATTGATACACGAATGTAGACAAGTGCAAACCAGTTTCATTTGCGTAAAAACAACAAAGCTGTACAGCAGTGTTTCCCAAAGTGTGGTACGCGTACCCCCTGGGGTACGGAACAGTTTAGTACGGGTACGCGTTCTTATGCGAAATATCTTGCAACAAACGAAAATTTCAAAATATTTTTCTTAAAAACAAAGCAAGCCATGAAAATTTACGATTACGTATTTTTCTATTGCCTATTTTTTGCCGAGTTAACAGTTAATAATTAGTGGTGTCAACAGTCAGTTGTGATTCTTAACTTTTATGCAATTTTTTTACAGTAAAAAATACATTCATTTTTTTTATTAGTGGTACACAGCGTTACGAAAAATTTAGAAAGGGTGCGCAAAAGTTATAAGTTTGGGAAACACTGCAGTACAGTATCACCTGATATATAAAATTTTACATAGAATCTTATAGAGTGTCTAATAATTTGGTTAGTAAATTCATCAACTTCTTCAATCAATGAAATTTCCTGAACACTGATATATTTTGTTTTGTGTTTAATTTTAAAATATCTCTCTTAAGTACTATCTTCATATTCCAGACCTATTTTTTTATTCAAGTTAAATGTGCAGAAATTTATTTATATTTCATTTTGAATGAGTTCTGATCTACGTCAATAGTTTTTACAGGACTTGAGTCAAATTAAAATTGAAAAAAGCTTGTCTCTTCATTCTATGTAAGTTATTCGAAAGTCACAATTAATACCACACATGCACTTATTGGTTAACACAAAAGTTTATTCGAATAACACTTAAAACTAAACTTTCAACATTTGCAGCAATTACAGCACATAACAAGCAAAGCTGTAAAGTAACACCATTCAACACATTATAACCATTTCAATAAAGAGAGAAAAAAACATTTGTTTGACATATTTTATAACAAGACTTCTTATAATAGTGAGGAATTAATGGAAATGAGAAAGTCGTGTACTGAAAAATAAACATACAGAGATGCACAGTATACTCTCGGTAACTCGAACTTCGATAAATCGAAAACCTTCTTACGTCAAAAAAATTTTTCCCCATGGCATTTTATATCTATCTAATGTTAATTTGAATTCCTATGCTGAAGAGTTTCTTCTAAAATCCTTGTTGTGCCGAATTTTTTTTTAAAAATAGAAATTGAGTTTTTTTGGAAAAATCACACAGTGAATTTATTGAACAATAATTATTTTGTATTTAATGCATTGTCTTACAATTAGTTTTGTCTTACTTTCAAAAATAAAATTATCATTGTTGTATTTCGAATTATAGTCAACTATCATTTCATTCATATTTATTAGTAGTTATACTTACGTTTCATGACTCTACTTTTTAGAGTAATATTTTAGAATATGTTTTCTACTTCTTGGAAACATATTTACTTGTTACCTCGAAAATCTTTTAGCGTCCCATCAACTTTGAGATATCAAGAGTATACCGTAACATTAAAAAAAAAACTTTATTTTAAAGGTCTGATTTAGAAAACAAATATTTGGTCCCAGAGACTTTTTGTAGTTGGAATAGGCAGTGACTCTAGCAAAAGAAACAATTCTTCGGCAGTGAGTGACTCATTTTTTTTCAGGCAGTGTACTGAAGAAATCATTACTTACCAACATAACATGCATCAGAATATTTCAACTTAAAAATAGAAACTTATTTAATCTTTTGATTCAAGAAATGTCATTACTACTTATACCAATTTTTAAAGTAGTGTATATATATATATATATATATATAGTGTGT